TAGTTGCCGAGCTCGTCGACTTTGCTGCTCGCTGTCGCCTAGACTACGTCGCCAGTCTTGTTACTGAGTCTGAGTCTGTCTGTCCTCCGTCCGTCGGGGGTGAGTGTGCCCTTGGCACGGACGTCCTTGAGGACAGGCAGGAGGAGTTCCAGTGCTTGGCCGCTGCTTCACCTCATCTCGTGTCCGTACTGCTTACCCCTGAGGGAGACCCGGATGCACTTGACATCCCGACTCCGCGCTCTTACGCGGAGGCGATAGAGGGTCCCTACTCCTCTCAGTGGCAGGCAGCTATGGACACAGAGATGGCTTCCTGGAAGTCCACAGGCACCTACGTTGACGCTGTTCCCCCTCCTGGGGCGAACATCGTCAGTGGCATGTGGATTTTCAGGGTGAAGCGACCACCGGGTTCTCCGCCTGTCTTCAAGGCGCGTTACGTGGCTCGTGGCTTCAGTCAGCGGCAGGGAGTTGACTACTTTCAGACCTTCTCTCCCACCCCGAAGATGACCACTCTTCGGGTACTGCTGCACGTAGCTGCTCACCGTGACTACGAGCTACACTCTCTTGACTTCAGTACTGCTTTCTTGCAGGGCAGCCTGCACGAGGAGATCTGGCTGCGTCGCCCACCTGGCTTCACTGGGTCTTTTCCTCCTGGCACCCAGTGGAGCCTACGGCGGCCAGTCTACGGTCTCCGCCAGGCACCGCGTGAGTGGCACGACACACTGAGGACTACACTTGCGGCTCTTGGGTTTGCTCCCTCTACTGCCGACCCGTCGCTGTTTCTGCGCACCGACACTTCTTTGCCGCCGTTCTACATCCTCGTGTACGTCGACGACTTGGTCTTTGCCACAGCTGACACTGCAGGACTAGCCCACGTGAAGTCCGAGCTGCAGAAGAGACACACGTGCACTGACCTGGGTGAACTGCGCAGCTACCTTGGCTTGCAGATCACTCGGGACAGAGCACGCCGCACCATTACCCTGACTCAGTCACACATGGTGCAGCAGGTCCTTCAGCGCTTCGGCTTCACGTACTCCTCGCCTCAGGCCACTCCTCTGCCTACTCGCCACTCGCTTTCAGCTCTGCCTTCGGATGAGTCCGTAGAGTCGAGTGGCCCGTACCCAGAGCTTGTTGGCTGCCTCATGTACCTGATGACCTGCACACGACCTGACCTTGCATACCCTCTTAGCATTCTTGCACGCTATGTTGCTCCTGGGAGACACAGACCGGAGCACATGGCTGCAGCGAAGAGGGTGTTGCGCTACTTGTGCAGTACGTCGGGCATGGGGCTTGTGCTTGGAGGGCAGAGTCCAGTGGTCCTTACTGGGCACGCAGACGCTTCTTGGGCTGACGACCAGGCTACGCAGCGGTCGTCACAGGGTTACACCTTCAGCCTTGGTTCCGGCTCTGTTTCGTGGCGGGCTACCCGCTCGTCTTCTGTTCTCGGCTCCAGTTGTGAGGCTGAGATCTACGCAGGAGCCATGGCTGCACAGGAGCTTCGCTGGCTCACCTACCTGCTGACTGACCTCGGAGAGCCGCCTCGTTCTCCTCCAGTGCTGTACGTAGACAACAAGGCCATGCTGGCCTTGTGTCGGGAGCAGCGACTGGAGCACAGAACGAAGCACATTGCTCTCCGCTACTTTCTTGCTCGTGAGCTGCAGCAGCGTGGTCAGCTGCGTCTTGCGTACGTGGCCTCTGAGGCCAACACTGCTGATATCTTCACCAAGGCGCTTGCGCCTTGTGACCATCAGCGCTTCTGTACTCAGCTGGGCACTGTGCCTACCTTGCCTCACTTGCTCACCTCTTGACCCTGCTTGTACGGTTACTTATATCTATACCTGCTCTTGCTTGTCTAGCCTTTTTATATATATGTACTCCTGCATGTGAACTGGCCTTGTGGCCTTGAACTTGTGCTCGGAATGTGTGGTGACTTTGTGATCCACCCTGAGCTTACTTTGCTTTGCTTTGCTTGACTGGTCTTGTGACCCCTTGTTCTCCCCCACTTTGCCTATGGGGGTGTGTCAGAACATTTTAGCTCATGCATATTGTGTAGGCTATAGTGGGGTAGCCCATAAGGGGTACAACCCAATTAGGGTTAGTATTTGTACCCAATTCATTCATAGTTCATTCATTCCTCGTTTCTTCTCAGGGGTAACTCTTACGCGCGGCGGTTTTCTGGGCAACCCGGGTCTTCATGCGGACGCTCAGATTCCATCGACGCCGAAAGCGCTGCGACCACCTCTGGCTTCCTTTCCACGGCTTGTCCGGGTACAGCAGCCTCATGTACTCCCGCGACCACTCCTGCAGGCGGCCGACTGATACGGCGGTTCCCTTGCGGCGCCACTCGAGAAGTTTCTCGTACACCTTCAACTCCATAGGCCGGTACCACGACGCTCGCCCGCGGCCGTGCATGCGCTTCCGAGCGGAATGAACTTCCTTGAGGAATTCAGACGCCCGCTTCCAGTTGGTGAGGCACTTGGGGTGGATTCCGCTCTCGCGAGACAATTGGCGCACCGACACCGCCAAAGCAAGCTTGGCAACCCACTTCAACTTCTCCGCGGCGGTGTAACCATTCCTCTTGTGGTCGGTGAGCTTGTGCCTGGGAGAGGGGGGGCGGGCATCACGGTTCTGGGTAGAGGGGTGGGGTCGCTTGCGATTGATCGGGGGATAGGAAGGTATCGGCAAGGTCTCGGGAAGCCCGTCGCGAGACCAGTACTCCACGCCGTCGTCGGCATCGTCGCCGGGAACGCCTTCTGGAAAAACATCTTCAGCGGAGCCGCCCTCGGCGCCGCCCCCGGCGCTCGCCTCCGTGCCACCCTCGGCGGCGTAAGCGCCGCTCGCTTCCTCACCGTCAGCGTCAGCTTCCTCAGCAACATCATCGTCGGCGCCGACTGCAGATTCGTCCCACGGGCAATCGTCAGGCTGTCCCCACCGTGAACCAGGCACGTACTCCACTTCGACCTCCTCATCTTGCGCCTTGTCAGACTCTGGTTCGGAGATCCATTCGTCAAACGCCGATGGGAGCAGCAGCGTGAGCACGGGCTCAGCTCCAGCGTGTAGCGGAGGCACAGGACCCTTAGTAGACAAGGGAACAGGAGGAAGAGGAGGCTCAGGAGGTGCAGGAGGCGAAGGAGGAGCAGGAGGCGCAGGAGGCGCAGGAGGCTGTGGTGGCTCTGGTGGTGATGGTGGGACACGGGAGTACCACCCATCTGCGTCTACTCTAAACGCGGGCTTGCGCGTAGGCTTTTTCTTGAACAAGAAGTGCGTGCCGCTGAATTCCGCCATGGCTTCCGCAGCATGGCGAGAGTGGCCAAGAACCAAGAACGGGAAACTGAAAGAAAGGATGCCCAAATGAAGGATTCAAAGGGACCCCTTCTGGCTAGCGCCACGGGGTCCTCGTCGTGGAGAGACGGGTGTCCCCTGTCTGAACCCGGAGAGGAGGGTATCGCGCCACGCACGATGCTGCGCTGGCAGGGCATTCCAGCCGCTTCTAGATGGTTCGGGTGAATTGCAGCTGCCACCCAGCGCATGAAAGCCTGATTGGGCCGCAAGGCATCTTTCACGTTAGCGCTGGCAGGTGCGCTGCTCCTGGACGGGCTTTGTGCGGCTGGAAACCGAAGCGCGGCAGTTTTCGGCGGGTTTTCATGCATGATGCCACGCGCACGTTACACAGTCTTGTTCGCCTTATTACGGGCTTCGATTTGATACAAAAAAAAATACAAATTCATTTTTGCCATGATATAAGCGCCGGCGCTTATGGCCGTTATTCAATTACCGTATTCTCCCGGACATAACACCCTAGGGTATAGCTAAAAATACAGGGAAAAAATGGGGGGGGTCTCCTCATAGGAAAAAAATACATAATACCCGGGTCTTTACATATGGCATACTTTAGTGTTAGTGTTTTTTTAATTAGTCAATGTGGGTGTTTTGATGGTCATTTTAACATCACTGCCTGAGGCGCGAATGTGAGTTTCGGCCTCGAACTTCATCACCTCCACGAAAATGCCATGCGGCACCTCCCTTGCCACTTGCAGCGGAAGATTCACCTGCACGTGGCGACAGCGAAATAGTGGGAGTGGGCAAATCTCGGCAGAATGCATTTGAATGTACCGCGAAATTTCATTGAGGGAGAAATTCACGCGATATTCTTCCGTATTGCAGCTACTCGTTAACGACTATAATAATGAATCCGTAAGAAAAGGGGGGTGTTATAGAAAATCAGCCAAAAAGGGGTGTATAGTAGAAACGAGGTCTATCATAACACCCACCCCGCACAAGCTACCCGGGGGTGTACAATTACGGGGGGGTGTTTTGTCCGGGAGAATACGGTACAAGCGCCACCCTTAAAAAAACATGTTTTATTATAAGCGCCGTGGCGCTTATATCCGGGGTTAGACAGTATTGCACTTCCTGCTTGTTGTGTTGATTGTACCCCACTTTGACTATGGGGGTGTGTCAGAATGTCGATGTTTGTCTAGCCTGCAGTGGGGTACTCTATAGCGAGTACAACCCAATTAGGGTTTCCTATATGTATCTCAACTGCAGCTAGTGAAAACCCCCTTTCCTGTTTCTCGTTTTCGCCTGATGTTTCGACACTAGGGAGGATGGCGAGAGGATGTCGAGGAGTTTGGCCGAAGAAGGGGTTTCACTATGGAATGGATACAAGATATAGGAATGGGCAAAAGGGAGGGTACACCACCACCAGTTGATGCTAATACCTAAACTAGTACACTAGCTAGCTGTAGGCAGTTATAAGATATGAAATATAATTCAACACACCCCCGTAACTGCCTACGGCTATAGCTAGTGGTTGTCAGAAGTATAGGCAGGAATGAATGAACTATGACAGAGTTGGGTACAAGTATCAAACCCTAAAAGGGGCTGTACCCCATATTGGCTACCCCACTACAGCCTACACATGTATAACAGGCATATGCTTTGACACACCCCCATAGGCAAAGTGGGGGAGAGCAAGAGAAGCAAAGCAAGCTCAGGGTGGATCACAACGTCACCACACACTCTGAGCACAAGCAAAGGGCCACAAGGCCAGTTCACATGCAGAGGCATATATGCAACACAAACAGCACAGTGATCTCTACCTAGCAAGGCAAGCATGCAGGTATAGATATATAGATCACAGTACAAGCAAAGCCTACAGCAAGTGAGGAAAAGTGGGACCAAGCCCTAGCAAAGTGCAGAAACGCTGATGATCACCAGACTGAAGTGCCTTGGTGAATATATCAGCAGTGTTGGCCCGAATGGCCACGTAACGCAGACGAAGCTGACCACGCTGCTGCAACTCTCGAGCCAGGAAGTAACGCAGAGCGATGTGCTTCGTTCTGTGCTCCAGTCTGTGCTCCTCACACAAGGCAATGGCTGCCTTGTTGTCGACGTACAGCACTGGAGGAGAACGAGGCCGCTCTCCCAAGTCGGTCAGCAGGTAGGTGAGCCAGCGTAACTCCTGTGCAGCCATGGCTGTGGCGTAGATCTCAGCCTCACAACTGGAGCTGAGAACTGAAGACGAACGTGTAGAACGCCAAGAAACTGAGCCAGAGCCAAGGCTGAAGGTGTAACCCTGTGACGACCGCTGAGTAGTCTGGTCGTCAACCCAAGAAGCGTCTGAGTGCCCAGTGAGGACAACGTCGCTCCGTCCTCCAAGCACGAGCCCCATGCCCGATGTACTGCACAAGTAGCGCAGTACCCTCTTAGCAGCATCCATGTGCACCTTTCGGTGCCGACCAGGAGCCACGTAGCGAGCCAGAAGGCCAAGAGGGTACGCGTTCAAGGGGGCTTTAGTACCCCCGGAGCCTCGCCTACCAATCCCGCCACCCCCCCCCCCCAAGTCTCTGCCGCTGTAGTGCGCGGCAGAGGGGAGGGCGGGGAGCAGGATGGCGATGTCGGGGGCGCCAACGAACTTCGTTGGCGCTGACGCGGGCGACTGCTGCCCTCGGCCCGCCACTCCCTTCCCCCCTTCCTCCACGTTATAGCTACCGCCCCCGCATACGTGCAGGGGCGGGACGGGTGCGGAAGCGCACGGGGGGCGAACGGGGGGGCGGCAGAGGCGCAGCAGTGGGGCGACGTGGCGACGAAGGGGCGGGGCGATGGGGCGAGACGAGGCGGCCGCGACGAACGGCGATCGCGCAGCTGCTGCAGCACTCGCGCTGCATTTCGCGACCGTCTCCCTGCTCGTCGTGGCGGTCGCCTTGCAGGCCGCCAGCAGCTGCAAACGAGCGTGAGGGAAAGCTCCCATGGTTCAAAATTGAGCGAGGGCCTAGGACCGAAACACGGGCTCTGATAGCATGTTAAGAACCATGGTACTTAGGAAACTTAGGAGATTAGGGCTTAGGAGAGGGACTAGGGAGGATGGCGAGAGGATGTCGAGGAGTTTGGCCAAAGAAGGGGTTTCACTATGGAATGGATACAAGATATAGGAATGGGCAAAAGGGAGGGTACACCACCACCAATTGATGCTAATACCTAAACTAGTACACTAGCTAGCTGTAGGCAGTTATAAGATATGAAATATAATTCAACAGGGGGGGGGTGTGGGGGGGGGGGGGGGGGGGGGGGGTGGGGGTATATCCAGGGGATTACGGGTACTGTAAGTGCAGTGCTCCAGATACGGAATATCACACTTCACAAGGAGTCAGATGAACACACCGTGGCTTTTTTTTCAGTCTACAGAGTAGTACAGCAAACTCCGTCTAGTTGACACATACCTACCAAAACTGCAGGTTAGTTCTACAATCAACTACCGGTACGGTCAGGGTTGTTTCACCCATACTACGTATATAGATAGAGACGAATGGTAGACATGCTGCACCCAGCCAGTTCGTGCTGAGTTGCAGGGTCCATGCGACCTTTCTATGTTCATATCATCCCCCTGTCAAGAATATACGCTACAAAGCTTCCCAGGCGTCCAGCACGCAGTCAGAAGAGTGGGCTGCCCAGCAGCAGCTTGACGGTGGTCCAGAGGAAGGACCATGTGGACATGGATCTCAGCTGCTCCGACACTCGCACCACAGCCGACACCAGCACGCCCATGCTCCACGCCTGCCTGCCGCCCTTCCCCACGCCACCCACTGCATGCGCTGCCTTGCCACTTTGCCCATACACCACGGTGCCCCTGCGTGCGGACGGGTCTGAGACCGTCCCGACGACCGCGGCCTTGCTGCGCCACGAGCATGAGGGGCAGAATACAGCCGCCGGCCTCGCATACGCATTCAGCAAGCGGGGAGAGAGCCGCTCGGCCGTATCCTCTCTGTCGCACGGCGCGCATCCGCTGTCCGGCGACCGTACAAGGTGCGCGGATACGGGGCCAATCGTCAGCGACGACGGACAACACGGAGCGTGGTGCCCCGGGCGCGCTGAGCAGAACGAGTCCGCGCTCGCACGGGTCTCCGAAGTGGAAGGCACCGCTCGGCAGCACACACACTCGCACTCTCGTCGCCTCCACTCCTCGTCCATCGGCCACGACAACTCCGCCGCACGCGCTGTCCCCTTCTTCCGATCCGACAAACCCGCCCTGGTAACGGCTGCTGCCGCGATGCCTCCTACGGCGAGGCGCGAGAGAAGGCTGGAGCGAATGCCTTTGGCGACTCCCTGTTGGTACGACGCCATGAGATGGCGCGTGAAGAAGTTGAAATTGAGCGACAACGCGAAACCCATCTGCCGCGGCCACTCGCTTAAACACTCCGCTTTCACCAGGTGCACAGCCGTGTCGCCACAATGCGCCGCGGGGTCCAGAAACAAAAAATTCCCCGCGAAGGCGTACTGGTCGGGAGTGCGTGAAGGCCAGAGCAGCTGAATGGCGCCGGTGAGAAGCAGGCGGATGGGCGGCGGGATGAGCGACTCGGCGGCGTGCAGCATGTTGGCTATGGGCAGGTGGGTTGCGTGCTGCACCACGCCCAGAATCACGCGCACCAAACGAAACGCCTCCAGCGCCTCTGCTGCCGCTCCCCGGCCTTTCAACCGCTGCACGAGCGACACCAACGGTAGCAGGCGAGGGATGAGGTCATGCTTCGATACCACGTGGCAGTAGACGTCGCGATGTTTATCGTTAATGACGTCAGCGAGGTCTGGACTGGCGAAAAGCGGCGAGCCAAACGTGATGCACTGCACCCGGCCGCCATGCGTGCAGAGACCCTGTTGTTCGGCTGCTTCGACGAAGCGGAGAGTTAAGAGTGACGCGACAGCTCCCCCAAGCGAGTGACCAGTGAAGACGAGGCAGTGGCCAGCCGCGAGCAGGTCGAGGAACGGCTGCAGAGGCACCCTCTCTGCGCGCTCGACGAAACCAGCGTGCGCTGTGCCCCCAGACGCCACACCCTCAACGTTTCGAGGGAAATACTTGAGGTCCTGTACGACGTCCCATACGTCCGCGGTCCCGCGGCAAGCGACGACAACGTGGCCGTGCGTGCTGCGTCCAACCATTACCGGCTCGTGCGGATGCCGACCTCCCGGAAAGCTGTCAAGATGGAGCAGGTCCAAGGCCCCTCCTGGAAGGTCATCAGTCGACTGAAGAATCGCCGACACGGTGTCATCGGAGGTTTCATAAGAAGCTAAGGAAAACACGAACGCATCTATCATCTGCTCGCAAAACCCCGAGCGAGAGAGACGATCCACAAGCCGCACCATGATACCTGCACAGAAGTAAAGAGCGGACTTGACATAGACTTGGAGAAGGGAGAGATTCTAAATCCCAAAAAGTGCATAAAGTTGCGGTTGTTCTGATTGGACTACAGACTACCAAAGAAAGAGAATCCTCACAAGTGAAGGGCAAGGGTTCGGTTTGGGCGGGATGGCACAATACAGTAGGGAAGCTGGAGCAGCTGCCTGAGCTGGGTTGGCGGGCGCCTTCGCGACGCACAAGCACAACGCGTCGAAACCAACGGGTGTCAGCTAAAGTCAGAGGCTCGGTTCGAGAAGCTGTGATCTGAGACGGACCAGTATTCACGTTGTGAAGCACGGCTCGAGTCGTGTTGTGACGTGGACGACGTAACCATTGGTGGAAAGAAGCCAGCAAACGGCAAAGGTTTTTGCCATGGCAAATGAAAAGCTTTACCGATAAAGATTAGTCAAGGAAATTTCAAAATGGCGATGTTTTCGCACTCAACAGCCACAATACACCTACACAGTAAGTCTTCTTCGCTTCCACCCTCTGGAGAACGGGCAAGTTGTATTGTGCGAAGCTTATGCTCCCATCTATTATGTGCAAGCTTGGCACTGGCCTCGAAACAAAAGGTTGTTTCAATACTGACCTATCTACATTTTGACTTTATGTCGACGTGTTTGTGTAGTTATTACTTTGGACTGTGCAGCGCTTCTCCGTCGTGAACTAAGGGAAGTCTAGGTAACAATCTGCATCATGTGGGAAATGTCTGGAAAATAGTAAGTGTCTAGTATTCAAAATGATTTGTGCTGTTTCTTTGGGTACTCGGAAAGGATAAACATGACCACTCCCGTCAATTCATGTGCCAGTGTCTCTGTTCCCATGAGGCTTTAGGGCGGGTCCAGCGCGTACGTTTACAGGTACTATACAGTTCATTTGTCGAGGTTTGAAAAGATAACAGGCGGTGCACAGTGGTTTTGAAATTGCACCGTTTTGAACCGTGACGAAATACAGATTACCGCACTAGATGAACTGTAATGTACGGAAAATGTACGCGCTGGACCCGCCCTTACAAACCACTTCCCAAGCCTCTTTGTTCCCCCATGGTCCTTGCTAAAACATATCGCAACCATACACGTGGACTGTGAGAAGCATCGGACTGATGGTCGATCTCCACACAAGCCTTCCCTTTAGCGAATTGTTGCCCAGAAGTGCCCACCTGTCCCATAGATCGCGGGCTACGTGTACCAGCGTTCCCAAGCAAGGTTTGGGGAGCACATAGCTACACCTGATAATGAACATCTAAATATACAACTGATGGAAAGGCACAGACGGGGTATGAGGTCCTCATCACCAGACTGAACGCCGGCCTGCGTTCTTTCGCTAGAGAGGAAGGAAAGGAACTCACCTGACCTCGACTGTCGTGTCATTACGCAGGAAAGGATGAGGAAGCTGTTACGAATAGTGACTATTGAAACACTATTGTACACTCCTCACCGCAGCAATCGAAGCACGTACTACCGAGAATGAAGACGAACAGGCGGAAGTGACAGGAAGAGTCACACGGTTACGAAAGGATCTGGACCGTCGGGCAGACAGCATCAGGCAGCAGCAGTGGCGAGGATTCTGCCCGAACAGTTTCGTAACTGTCTGGAGTCGCACGGTTGGATTTCGCTGCAATAAGGGAATGTACCCCTTAGAGTACATGGCTAACTAGGTCGATTAATATCCCCTTGTAATCTTATTTATATTCCTTGTACCACATGTTTTTATCATCTCAAGCATTTACATTCACTCTGCTATTGAGATCAAGGGCCCACCATCACTAAGATTAGAAGTGTGCGAACCTTCCTGAGGTGATCCTGAGGTTGATCAGCTTCTGATCGCAACATGGTATCAGAGCGACTCAGGAATCCTTCGCACCGCCACCACCGAAATCTTCGGCGAACGGAAAGTGGCGTCCGGCACACGCTCACGTGTGAGAATGGCCGGAGGATCTGGAGGTCAGACGAATCTGACGGCTGAAGCGCAGACTAATCCAGCTGCGACAAACGAGGAAACGACAACAATCCCTTCCGTCGTCCTCGCACAACTGCTTCAGCGACTCACGAGCCTGGAGCAAGGGCTCCAAACATTGCGGAATGGCGATGCGGGAACATCTTCTTAACCCACTCAACCGGCCTCGAATGGCCAGAACTCCGCCCCGCAAGGCTTCTCTCTTGACACAAACGGCTCAACACCCAAGACTCCCTGTCCCAGCGATGAAGCAATTCTCTCTGCGCAATCAAGGTTTTTGAGCATATAAAAAATAAAGACAAGTGTGTGCTTTGACGGCAGAGACTTCTATACGTGGAGCTTCGAGCTGGAGCTGCTGCTGCAAAACGCGCAGATTTTCCACTACTTTGACGGGAGCTACTCGGGACCCACGGAGGAAACTGACGACGCAAAAATCAAGTACTACAACGAGTCTCTGATGGCGTACGGGGTTCTTCTTCGAAATATGTCGCCGACGGAGCAATTGAGCATTCGCTCATACAAAACCTCGCCTGCTCCAGCCCTCAACGCCTGGCGCCACCTGAATGGTGTGTATCAACCGAAGGACTCGGTGTCGTCGAGCCGTCTACTCCAGCAGCTACTGGAGA